TCTCTTTCTCTGCCTTCCAAATAAGTTAAAAACAAAACACCTTTCCTAAAACAAGGAATAAAGAGACAGGGAGTCTGTGTCAGGCCCGCCCACTAATGAGCCACGTGATCTCTGAATGAGCTCTCACTGGGGCTCAACATCCTTCTCTGCGCAATGAGAGCGCGGGACACGCCCTCTAAGGTGCCCCTCCAACGCCACCAGAGCCCTCGCAGGACTTCACAGGAAATCTCCGAGCTCCACACACTAGAACAAAACTAATCCCATCCCAATTTGCAAGGTGCTCTAGAAGTCAAGAAGTTTTTTCCCTCCTAGTCCCTGATATCCAACAAGGTACACTATAATCCAGTATTCCAGAGGCACGGCTTACACTCCACTAAAACACTAGGTCTCCGCCATCACGGCAGGCACTGCAGTAAACTCAGCCCACACTCTTCTGGCAACGTGGGACATGGTATAAAGGGAGAGAATGGGCAACATGAAGAAAAGTACTCTTGTGAATATGGTGCTCGGCTACTGTAGGCATCTCAGTATCCAGAGAACCAGGTGTGATGAATCTTCCACGAGACACAGGATTCAGCGGAAACAAATATGAATCCATTCACAAAAGCAAGAGGCACTGCTGAGTTCCTTAATGAAAGGTCACCGGAAAGGAGAGGGTAACAGCAAAATAAGCCCCTTTGAACTGGGCCTCAACAGCACCACCAGACAACGAATACAGAGCAGAGCGATGCAAGCAGAAAAGGCCACCTGCTTTCTCAGTCTCTCCAGAAAATGAGAGGGGAAAACAGGAACAACAGAAAAATTCAAACTACAGTAAAGGAATATTTAACAGGGTCCTTTAAATAATCAGCAATGATCAGGTATTTAGTCTTCAGAATTTGCAGGTTGTGTGCATTTTTTTTCTAATAAAGCATTTCAAGTTCTAATTAAAAAAATACTTTATGGAGAAATTAAAAAGATGCAATAGTGTCAGAGGAAAAGCCATGATCCCAGAAGTGGAATATTCTAAGAACATAACTTAGAAGAAACTACGCTATAAAAACAGATTGTTGATTAACACAAACTCATAACCAAATGCAGAGAGCTATCACAATGGTGCTGTAATAACACTTGGCTGCTGAATTCTTTCAATACATTAAATATCTCCTTGGAGACCAAATTACTTTACATTTTCTTAAAAGACAATTTATTATAGCTTTGTTTTCTTCTCATTATCTCTTAAAAATATATCTAATGAAGAAAAGAATACAACTCCTAAATAACTTACATAAAATGGTACTAATGTGTGACAACAGTCTGGTTTAATACATTGGTTATTATTTAACAGCACACAGCAACCTACCGCCACGACAAATCCTCACCACCATACCACATTCCATGTGTCACATGGATCAAAACCAGAGTATGCCTTTACTATGGCACTCATAAAATTAACAGCCTCAGGCTGCTAGCAATTTAAATAATTGATAAGTTTTCAATTAAAAAGGCAACATTTTCGAGTTTAATACAAAAATCTATTTAAATTACTGATAAAAAAAAAATACTTGCACTGGTTCAAAGCCAGAAAATGCTTGCACTCAAGGAGGGGAGAAGAAATTGCGAGTTTCAACTCAGACCTTGAAATTTCCTTTCATCCTTAGAGATCATAAGGCTGCTTACCCACTTAACCTCTGCAATCAATGGAAAAGAATAATTAAAGCACCAACAGCTAAAACGTCTCTACTTTAGCTTTTCCCCTATATGGCTTTTAAAGAAATACTAAGATGACCACAAATATACTGAATCCCAAATGAAAAGCTATGCTGCTGTTTTGTTTTGTTTTTACCATAAAAATGTGGCCATCTGTCAGTATCTTCCCTCTGCCACATCCTGACATCAAACATTTTCAGGGCCAAATTGAACCTAAAAAATAACGACCAATCCAAGTTTTTAGTAACAGGCTATTGTGAAACCAGCAACCAAAACGCATTGTGAGATTGGATCCAAATGGTCCTCTTCAGGGCAAAACCGGATCCCAAAGGAATTCCAGCCATAGCGCCAAGAGAGATCAACATCACAGCCATGGCAGGGTCTCCCCAACCTCTCCCCTTGTAAATGCTGACTGAGCGCATGGCTCTTCACTGACAAAGGGTGTGAGATGGAAGGGGCCACAGCAAGACAGAGGAGAAAAAGGAAATCCACCTCTCTCTGATATTTTCATTTTCACTTAGTATTTTGCAAAAGTACCCTGCATCAGAAGTGGAGTCCACTCCTGGTGTGTTAAAATTTAAGAGTTGAAAAAAAAATTTAGAGGTGGAAGTGAGCGGGCTCAAGTTGCCATCTATAATTCATTAATGAGAAAACCAGGACAGATCAGCCAGACCACAGTCCATGGACCGGTGCTGATTCATACAAAGGTGTTCTCGCATCCACAGCACGTTACAACAAAACAAGGACAGCTGGTGAGTTTTACATGAAGCTAAACTTACTCACTTAAGGAACTGAGATTTACCCTGTGACTCCCACTAATTTTCTTTGTTAACAAAATATGGTAAGAAATAATTTTTATTTATTAATGTTTCTATTTGGTCAAACCAAATGCCCACATCCATCCCTGAGCTAAAATGAAAAATTGATTTGCTCATGAAATCCAAACATGTGTGCATCAATAACTAGAGGAACTCTGTTTCAGACTAAAAAGTGGCTCCCAAGAAACTTTGGGAATTTTTAAGGCTAAAGAAACGCAGTAAAAGGTTATATAATCACAACTCCAATAGTTTCCTACAACATGAAAATAAGCAGTACACTTGAGAAAATAAGTTAAATTGTAAGGAATAGATGGCACAGCTATCATAACTAAGGTGTTTACACAAATCATTCAGAATCTAATAGCAACAACATAAGAATTCCCAAATGTGACTCTGCAAGAACAGGGAGGGGGTGAGGCAGTGTATGATGGTGAGTGTGCCTGGGCTTTGGCAGAGGAGAGACTGAACTCAAATTCCATATTCACAGTTACACTGGCTCATACCAGCTCTAAGAGCTTGAGCACATCTCCCAACCACAGCTTCCTCATCTGAAAAACAGAGACAAGAGGCCGGCACTGTGCATAGTGCGTGAAGCCACAAGGATGCTGCTCCACTTCTGATCCAGCTCCCTGTTAGTGTGTCTGGGAAAGCAGCAGAAGATGGCCCAAGTGCTTGGGCTCCTGTACCCATGTGGGAGACCCAGAAGAAGCTCCAGGCTCCTGGCTTTGGATCAGCCCAGCCATTTGGGGAGTGAACCAGTGGATGGAAGACCCCTCTCTGCCTCTGCCTCTGCCTCTCTGTAACTCTGTCTTTCAAATAAATAAATGTAAAAAACAAACAAAAAAAAAGAGGCAATAGCATCTATCTCACAGGGCAATTATCAAAATGAAAAGAAAAAAGTAAAACCTGCAGCATTTAGTGTAGAGCAGGCACACAGAACTGGAAATGATTACCGTTCTCACTCGGCTCATACCTAGTAATATTCCTCAAGAAGTACACTTTGCAAGATCTTCCCAAAAGTACATACCTTTTGTGTGTGGCTATGTTGAACACACAATAAAAGGTACACTGATGTCAGTTCTCTGCAGTGGACATGTGTGAGCAAACCAGACCCCATCTGTGCGCATGTTTCCCTCACAGTAAGCATTCTGCAACCTCAGGAGAGTTAGCCAGTCTTTCAACAGGAGTGCCAGACCCTTCAGCACACAGCCAACCCTACTCTGGCTTTCAAGGTGCTGATGAGCTCAGCTCTAAATCCTCTGCACACAAAGCCTCCCGCATAAGTTAATGGGAAGTCAATGGGAAATTGACTTTTCCTACTCTATGCTGGTTGGAATGCAACGCTCTGTTAACCATGCCATCCTTCTTGTTCCCTTTGCTCCTACCCTAAATTAAAACTATTGGCGGAAACCCAGACAGACAGTTTACAGTTTTCATTACAATGAAACAATATCCTGGTTGAAGCTGAAGTCTATCAAAAACCTATAGCCTAATCGTAGGCTGAGATTATAGAGTCCCTGGGAAAAGCCAGGGCCAGGATTCGGCCATTCCCACCCTCATAGCACTCTGCATTTGTATAGTACTTTTAACTTTTCAAAGGGCGCTCACATCTATTACCCCGTTTGATCACTACAATGACCTTGTGCAGTAGAAAGGACAAGTATTATTATCCACCATTGACAGATGAGGCGACCACTGCCAGGGAAGGTTAAGTGATTTGCCTAAGGCCAAGAAACCAGAGGAGAGCTGTGGTCTCCAGACTTCCCTGCCCAGTGCTCTTTGTACCAGACCACTAGGAGAGGTTTTGTAAACAGATTACGAGCTCAGATAAAATAAAATAAACCTTGAGAGGAAAGCTCGAACCAGGTCTTAGGGGAGCTATGTCTCTTGATAGAGGCATTTTTCTGGCTTAGTGTTAAAGCTTCAGAGATGTGCACTGTTCTCTTGTTTGTCTACTTCAGTCCTAGACAAATGTTCATGCAAATGCTCACTGAGATTTGAAAAACAAAAGAAAAGTCCTTTCAAGATATATTCAAATCACTTTGATTCAGCAAGTGATCCGTTTTTGGGGTGGGAGTAGAAGGATGCAGGGTACATAAAATATGTAAAAGTACATCTTTAAATCGTGTATTCATATTAAGCCTGCAGCTAAATTACAACTATAGTCTGGAAGGGTGAAAGAGATCTCCAGTTGAAAGTAGATTTTGAAAAATTTTTTACAGCCCAGGGGTTCATTTTTAATGAGCCGTTACTTTAAGTACTGCATAAAAAATACAGGAAATTGATAGTCCATTTAGTCTGCACCATACCTAATGCAGAAGTCATTAAGATGCATTATTCTTAATGTTCATGATATGATCAGTGAGTGTCTTCTGAAAAGAATGTCCTTAACTTTACGTAAGGAAAGCTTTGGAAAGCTTATCGAGTATACAGAAAAATGTTATGGCAACCGTGATTTACCCACATCCATTCACTACGCGTCCTCAATTACAGTCACTTGCCAAAAACTGCCCTTCTTGGTGACACACTTACATATGACAGCATGGCCTTCATCTCTTCGTCACTCCTCACGGTAATTCGATCACCATCTTCGTCTTCATCTGTTTAAAAAAGCAACATAAAATAAATGGTAAGTTTGTCTTTCTTTTTTTTTTAATTTGAGAGACAGAGTGAGACAAGCCAGACAGACAGACACATGCCTCAAACGACTGGGGCTGGGCGGGGGTCCCAGCCAGGGCCAAAGCCAGGAGCCAGGAAAACACTGTAGGTCCCCCACCAAGGTGCTAGGAACCCAATGACTTGAGCCATCACCACTGCCCTCTGGGATCTGCACTGGCAGGAGACTGGAGTCAGGGGCCAGATCCAGGAATCAGAACCAAGTATTCTGATGTGGGAAACAGGCTGGTTTTTTTGGTTTTTTTTGTTTGTTTGTTTGTTTGTTTTTGACAGGCAGAGTGGACAGTGAGAGAGAGAGACAGAGAGAAAGGTCTTCCTTTTCCATTGGTTCACCCTCCAATGGCTGCCGCGGCCGGCGCACCGTGGCCGGCGCACCGCGCTGATCCGATGACAGGAACCAGGTACTTATCATGGTCTCCCATGGGGTGCAGGGCCCAAGCACTTGGGCCATCCTCCACTGCACTCCCTGGCCACAGCAGAGAGCTGGCCTGGAAGAAGGGCAACCGGGACAGAATCCGGTGCCCCAACCAGGACTAGAACCTGGTGAGCCGGGGCCGCAAGGCGGAGGATTAGCCTAGTGAGCCGCGGCGCCGGCCGGCATCTTAACCACTAAGCTAAGCACCAGGTCTAAGATTTGCAGTTTTCAAACACACAAAAGCCCTGTTGGGTGGGAACATAAACAATACAAGTGGCCTTTACAACCTGATATATAGAACCTCAACATCTTATTTTTGAGTGACGGTAGGATTTTTAGTTTCTGTTTTGCTTTCAGTTTGGAATACAATCAGAATCTATTCAATAAAGATCTAAAACTTTCTTTTAGCAACAGTTAAAAATTAAAATGTTGCTCATGTCATTCACGACCTATCTAGGTTAAAGTAAATATACATAAAAAGTAAATCTACGACAAAACAGGATGGTTTAGAGAAGTTAAAAAAAATAGAGGCCAGTCTTGCCTTATTAGTAGTAATTTTTTTTCTTTCCCAAATAGCACCCTACCCCTCTGTTTCTCCATTCTTTCTCTCTCCCAGGCAGTCTCTCACATCACAGTACCATGACAAAAATGGCTAACACTGACTGAACCCTACTATAGACAAGGCATGGCGATTCGAGCTCCTTAGGCAACACCTCCTTCACAACCTCACACAGCCCTGTGATGTGCACATCATCATCGTCATTTCTCCTCTACAGAAGCAGCTGGCACCCAGTGCAAGGTCAACTCACCAAGGACCTCTACCACAGGACCCCACACATCCCAGCCCATCCAGCTGCCACCCTCTCTTTATAAGCAGTACTCTCTGATCAAGCTTCAAAGGCGAGTCATGCATTTTATGACGACTTATAGATTAGAGTAAGTACCATGGAAGAGGCCACTCCAGAAACAATGTACTTATTTCACTAATATTTCTCTAGTCAAAGTACTTTTGAAACATCTCTTCAAAAACTGCTTTAAGAACCTATAGACTGGGCTGTTGCTGCGGTACAGAGGATTAAGCTGCTGCTTGTGACACAGGCATCTTGTACGAGCGCCAGTTCAAGTCCCAGCTGCCCCACTTCTGATCCAGCTCCCTGGCTAATGCACCTGGCAAAGCAGTGGAAGACGGCCTGAGTGCTTGGACCCCTGCACCCACTTGGGAGACCTGGATGGAGTTCCTGGCACCTGGCTTCAGTTTAGCTCAGTCCTGGTAATTGCAGCCATTTGGGGAGAGAACTAGTAGATGGAAGCACTTTCACTTTCTCTTTCTCTCTTTCTCTCTCCCCCCCCCCCCCGCCACCCTATAACTCTGCTTTTCTAATAAATAAATAAAAAAAGAACCTGTAGACCAACCATATAAGAATATCAGATCTCATTGTTGCATTTATTTAATTATTTATTTTAATTGAAAGGCAGAGAGATGAGAGAGATCTCCCATCTATTGATTAATTCCTCAAATGCACATGATAATTGGGGCAGGGACAGGCTGAAGCCAGGAGCCAGGAATTCAATCTGTGTCTCCCACATGGGTGGCAGGAAACCAGGCCCTTCAGTCATCATCTGGCCTCCCAGGTAGCTGGAAAGCAGAGCAGACCTGGGACTTGAATCCAGGCCCTTTCAGGCATCCCAAGCGATGCCTTCACTGCCACACCGACTTCCCATTCCCTGGCTCTCATTCTTAACTCAAAATGGGATTACTGGCCACATCACCTGCCAAGCAGGACTCAGATGACTTCTAGCCACTTCTGTGTATGTAGTTAGCCTCTTCATCACTCTCCAGATTTGTCAATGGCAAGAAGAGACTACATGACAGACACTAAATGTACAGCTCAAAGAAAATGCCAGAAAGGTCTGGAGCCAGGTACACGGCCTCCCAGGCAACAACTCAGCAGGGGTGGACTCCTAGCGGGCTGGCTGCCTCACCCCTGGCTCACTGGTTACAGCACTGGTATTATTATTTTTGTCTCCACTGAACTGCTGACTTGATCAGATGCATCCCAGGCCTGGAGCACCAGACAGTCTCTTCTGAAGATAAGCTTGCACGACACGCGCTGGGCATATTGCTTGACAGTACAGGGGAGTGCGGTCAACACATGGCAGTGGGCCCTTCCACCTGTCCAGCTCCTAGTGACCAGGCTGTGGGGACCCTGGAAGGGAGTTTCGGCTCTGTTCCAATCAGCGCTTTCTTCCCCAGCAGCCAACAACACCTGTCTGCATGATGGAAACCAGCACCTGGGCCAGCCCCACTTGCTCAGTGACCAAGCCCACGGCTCTCACTCCAGGTTTTCTCTCCAAAGTATTTGTTTCTGAATCCTAGGCTGTGGCTCACGCCTGGAGAGTTCCCAGACTCCAAGCTCTTTGCCTAACACCTCCTAAGTAGCCGGGAGCTGCCAGTGGCATTAAGCCTAACAGGAATCTAGCACTTCTTCTTCCTCTTCTTAGTGCAGACTCTCCAGTGCCAAACTGGGGAAGAAATGCCGCTCTGATGGCAGCAACAGAAGAAAGTGGTTTCTGCACAGGTTCTAGAAAGTTCAAAGGCTAAGTCAAACGATTTTTTTAAAATGCAGGAGACAGGAGACAGGGAGGGACAAAAACAGATATAGTATAAGAGTATAATTTTACATATTACCACACATTTCTGCTTTAAAAACAGATCAAATTCTGTTTAAATATAGGCTAAAAGGGTTTGTCCTTGAGGAAGTCCTGAACTTGGTTTAAAAAAAAAAACCTCTAGCCTGAGCGACACAGTGCTTTGTGAATCTCATTTCACACTAGAGCTAGAGGTTGAGATGATGGCTGCAAAGGGCCTGCTCCTATTCAAATCTCAACACACACAAAACCACACACAAAAGGTACTATTCCTGTGGACATGGAGGAGTCGGGAGTTCCATAAAAGCCATGAAAAAGATTTTGTTTTGCTTTGTTTCTTTAAAATATTTATTTATTTACTTTGAAAGTCACAGTTACAGAGGGAGAGGGAGAGACAGAGAAAGAGATCCTCCATCCACTGGATCACTCCCCAGATGGCAGCAACAGCCAGGGCTGGGCCAGGCTAAAGTTAGGAGCCAGGAGCTTCATCCAGGTCTCCCACATGGGTGGCAGGGGCCCAAGCACTTGGGCCATCTTCCACTACTCTTCCCAGGCCATTAGCAGAGAGCTGGATTAGAAGTGGAGCAGCTGGGACTTGAACGGGTAGCCATAGGGGATGGCAGTGTCGGAGGCAGCAGCCTCAATTGCTATGCCACAATGCCAGCCCCGAAAGTTTTCATAAGTAAAAATATTTTATTTATTTATTTATTTATTTGAGAGGCAAACAAAGAGTGAGACAGCTTCCAAATGCCCACCCCAGCTTGGACTGGGCTAGGCTGAAGCAAGGAGCTGGCAACTAAATCCAGGTCTCTGTCCTGGGTGGCAGGGACCCAACTACCCGTAAGCCATCACTGCTGCTCCCAGGGTCCACAGTAGCAGGAAGCTGGATCAGGAGCAGAGGCAGATATGGAATCCAGGTATGGGATGCAGGTGTCTTAGCCACTAAGGCTAAATGCTCACCCCTTAGTTTCTAAAGAGAGGGCACAGATTGTAAAAAGATCTTGTAAATCACCATCTCTCTAAACCAAGAGTGAGAGACAGAAGTAGGGGTTCAGAGCCAAGGCTTGGACCCTGAAGTCTACTTAAAATGAAATCTCTTGAGGGATTATTTCAGAAAGGGAAAAAAAAGAACAACCTACGAGGGAAGTCAGTCACCAGAAATATTTCTTGCAGAGTAGTTCTATGAAAACCTGCCATGAAATACAAGAAAATTATATGGACGGCAAATTGAGGACAAAAATGCTGAAACAGTATCGGGACTGTCTCAGAAGGACCCTGATTCTGAGAGAAAGATTCCAGGTGCGTTGAAAGAGACATTCTAATAAAGCATGAGGACAAAATCGGTCCAACAGGAGCCAGTGATCAGCCGCTCTTATGCACTGGTGAGAGACCCAACTTCATGTAGGCATTGGTTTTCTTTACAAACTGTCTGCTTCACTCTTTTTAAAAAAGGTTTATGTAAAGTCAAATGATGTCCAATAAACAGTATGTGATAGTTCTTCACTAATCCTAACCTGATTATTTTTATAGACTTTATTTATTTGAAAGGTAGAGACAGAGGTTTCCCATACTGCTGGTTCACCTCCCAAATGCCTGCAACAGCAAGGGCTGGGCCAGACAAAAGCCAGGATCTCAATCCAGGTCTCCCACCCGGGTAGCAGGAACCTAACCACATGATCCGTCATTGCTGCCACCTAGGGCGTGCATTAACAAGATGCCTGAATAGGGAGTGGAGCTGAGACTTGAACCAAGGCACTCTGATAGCAGGGTCAGGCCTTTCAAGTAGTATCTTAGCAGCTATTCCAAACACCACCCCATGCTTCACTCTTTACATCTGTGCTTTTATCTATTTACTTGAAATTCAGAGTTACAGAGGGGCAGAATCAGAGGCAGAGAGAGAGAGCGCGGGCACGCAAGAGCTCTTCCACCCACTGGTTCACTCCCCAAATGGTGAAGCTGGAGTTAAGCCAATCCAAAGCCAGGTTCCTCCAGGTCTCCCACGCAGGTGCAGGGGCCCAAGGACATGGGCCATCTTCTACTGCTTTCTCAGGCCATAGCAGAGAGCTAGATCGGAAGTGGAGCAGCTTGGACTTGAACCAGCGCCCATGTGGGATGCTGGCACTGCAGGCGGTGGTTTACCTGCTACACCACAGCGCTGGCCCCAGTGCTTAGCTGTTTTAAAGAAGCCTTGCTGTTCCTGTCAAAGAGCACACTGAGTTGGAAAAGCCACCACTCCCATGAGCAGACCATGCTAGGGGTTCTGTCCAAAAGATGAAATTCTGAGCTGTGTCTGACCCCAAGATGGCTGCCCACGAGCAAACCATCCCCCTTCACGTTTAAGTGAGGGTGCATTTCTCTCTGAAGACAACCAGCTGACAGGTATGGGAGCTGGTGAAAGGGAAGAAGGCAGAGAAATGTACACACCAGTCAATTTAGTATGACAACAGTCTTGCTTTTCTGAACAAAAAGTCATATACACACACAAACCATGTAGCAAAGATTCTGGTTGTTTGCCTACCAAAGTAGGATAGCTATAAAATTACACTAGTTGCAGCTACAAATCATAAAGACCTACCTTAATGTGGCATAAAGACTTTCAAAGGTATAAATAAGTTGGTAAAGAACACTAGGAAGTCCTGGTACTAAGTAGAAAGAAGTAGAAAAATAATTTGAACTCTTTCTGTCTTATATATGGAGGTTCTTTGCCATCTGACCAAAAAAGCATTACTGGATATGACCAAGAAAAGGGGGGTGGGATGGATCTGACACACTGGTTCACAATGAGAATTCCAGGCTTCTCTAGTTGCCTGGAGCATAGTAATATGATTTTCCAGCACATTAGGGAAGCAAAAGTAGAACCAGAAAGTCTATGTACTGGCTGGATTTTGTTAATGTCACTTAAAATGGAGGAAAAAATCCTAGCAAGATACCAAATAGAGTGCAGCAGATGGTAAACAAATATTATGAAGCAATCTTCACAAAATCTGCAGTGTGTCACAAATATACAAAATGGCAGAGTTTGGGAAGAGAGAATCGTAACAGGCCATATGTTGTTAGCGATTGTGTTTGAAGCCACACGCAATCCAGAAGAGAAACCAAGGAGAAGAGAAAGACCTGATGGAGGGGGCAGCCTCAGGTGTGGGGCGGTCAGAACGGGCCTCCAAGTGGGTGCTCTTGGCCACGCAGTGCCCACTGCAGGGCCAGGGGCTCACGGGGGCCTCGAGAGAAACACTCCCCCTTCTATCAAGAGCGATGAAAAGTTCAGGCAATATATCATATGTCATTTGTCACCCTCCTTCTGTGCCAGGTGGGAGTCAATTAGAACTACAGCAAAGGCAGTTTTCCCTGGCAAGAGGAAAGAAATGAAAACACGATGTAGAGGTTAGAAAGAATCAGCAGGAAATTACTAGAAAAGATGTCAAGTGTACAGTGCCCTGCTCAGGCAGGGAGGGCGGTGAGCTGGGCGAGACCAGAGGCCCTGGCCTCTACGGCCAAAGCCCACCAGCGCTCACTTCACTCCCAGCCTCCCTCTGCCTGTGTCTCCCTTACTCCTTGGCTTCCTTCCTCCTTCTAGGGGCCCACGCAGACAACCGGGGCAGGGGTGCTCTGAGCAGAAGGAAGAATGCCAGGCATGTTGCTAAGATGAGGAGGTCCGGGGGCTGGAACACAAGGGGTGGTGGGACAAGGTCAGGGCAGAGGAGCAAGTGCAGGGCCTGGTGAGGGCTCCTGAGGGCATGGCTCTGAGTGCTGTGAGCTCAGGTACCTTCCGAAAGCAGCACCTGGCTGCTGCACTGGTTGGGGGGGGGGGGGCAGGGAGCCCAGTCAGGGGGCTCACAGTGTGGCCCACGTGGAGCCAAGGCTTTAAGTCAGCACGGGCGGCACTGATCTGAACACACAGCCAACAGGATCTGCCGATGGGTGCGCTACAGAAGGCCTGTCCTTGATGACTTCATCCTATCACCCATCCAGTACTGCAGACACACGCATACTGAGGGCCTGCTGCACCCCAGATACCACAGTAGGGGTTTTAGGATTCTAAACTGAGCAGCACTGTCCCTGACCTCAAGAAACAACTAGTCTCAGGCTGGAACAAAGGACTTCAAACTTGGTGATTTTCATGCAAACTAGCAACTACTCTCTAAGACTACAAAGGGTCTGAGCTTTTTGTAGATGATATTCCAGCCCAAAATGTCAACTAATTAAAGCTCTCTTCGAATTGTTGCTGATTACAGGATGCATAATGACCTCAATGGTAAGTAACTGCTAGACTCAAGGCAGGCTTACTGTGGACGGCAAGTTCTCACTACCCTGTTCAGTTTTGCTTATAAGCAATGGTTCCTCCTTTCATATAACCAACCATTTAAGAAAATGCAACTTCCTTTTTTCCAAATCATTTTACAACTTAAGACTTTTCTCTGAAAAAAAAAAAAAAAAAAAGACTTTTCTCTGAAGCAAAAAGTGGCTCCCATCTAAGTATTTTCTTTATACGTGAAAGGCAAAGAGGCAGAGACGGGGGATAAGAGATCCCATCGGCCAGTTTGCACCCCAATTGTGTGAAAGAGCTGGGACAGGGCCAGTATGAAGCCAGGGGCCTGGAACTCAATCCTGGTCTCCAATATGGGTGACAGGGACCCAACCACTCAAGCCGTCAGGGTGCACACGAGCAAGAAGCTGGAATGGTGAGTGGAGCCAGGACTCAAACCCAAGCACTCTGCCAAGAAACGCAGGCATCTTAAATAGTCTAAGCAGCTGCGCCAACACCCACCCTGCCTCTAAGTCTTCTTCTTTTTGTTTTTAAATAGAAGAATTATTTCACTTATTTAAAAGAGTTACAGAGAGAACTGGAGCCAGAGAGAGAGAAGTCTTCCATTCCATCGATTCATTCTCTAAATGACCGCAATGGCCAGAATGAACCAATCCAAAGCCAGGAGCCAGGAGCCTCTTCTGGGTCTCCCCATGCGGGTACAGGGATCCAAGGACCTGGGTCATCTTCTACTGCTTTCCCAGGCCATAGCAGAGAGCTGGATCGGAAGTGGAGCAGCTGGGACTTGAACCAGCACCTATATGAAATGCCAGTGATGCAGGCTGGGGCTTTAACCCGCTGCACCACAGTGCTGGCCCCCCAAGTCTTTTTTTTTTTTTTTTACAGGCAGAGTTAGACAGTGAGAGAGAAAGACAGAGAGAAAGGTCTTCCTTCCATTGGTTCATCCCCCAAATGGCCACTACGGCCGGCGCACCGTGCCAATCCAAAGCCAGAAGCCAGGTGATTTCTCCTGGTCTCCCATGCGGGTGCAAGGCCCAAGCACCTGGGCCATCCTCAACTGCACTCCCGGGCCACAGCAGAGAGCTGGACTGGAAGAGGAGCAATCTGGACAGAATCCGGTACCCCAACCAGGACTAGAACCCGGGGTGCCGGCGCCACAGGTGGAGGATTAGCCTAGTGAGCCACGGCGCCGGCCTCCCAAGTCTTCTTAATGAGGGTGTCTCTGCCATTTAGACAAGAAGCTATCTCCAAGAGGTGGCATTTCAGGAATCATTGTAACTGTTTTCCATACTCTGAGAACTTACAACCTATACAATTGGAATTTCCTTTCCAAATTTAAAATGAAATATGCACCCACACGGGAAACCTGGAAGAAGCTCTTGGCTCCAGCCTGGCCCACAGGCCATTTTGGGAGTGAACCAAAGGATGGAAGATCTCTCTCTCTCTGTCTCTCCCTCTCTTTCTCTAATTCTGCCTTTTGAATAAATAAATCTTAAGGAAAAAAAAATTCTATCCAAAAAACAAAATATGAAACTCATAGAACAACTGCAAAGGATTCTATACAATGAAAAATATACATAGAAATGAAGAGAGATACAAATAAAATAGATATTTGGAACCAGCACTGTGGTGTAGCAGATAAAGCCCCAGCCTGTGGCACCAACATCCCATATGGGCACCAGTTCGAGACCCGGCTGCTCCACTTCCGATCCAGCTCTCTGCTATGGCCTGGGATAGCAGTAGAAGATGACCCAAGTCCTTGGGCCCCTGTACCCGTGTGGGAAGACCCGGAGGGAGCTCTTGGCTCCTGGCTTTGGATAGGCCCATCTCCAGCCATTGAGGCCATCCGGGGATAGAAGAGCATGCTCGCTCGCTCGCTCTCTCTCTCTTTCTGCCTCTCCTTCCCTCTGTGTGTAACTCTTTCAAATAAATAAAATAAACCTTAAAAAAAAAACAGATATTTATCGTAGAACCTTATTTTCTGAACCAAACTCAGATGTATCATTTGACAAGGATGAAGCTACTTAGGAGGGCCAAAGACCTGTGTACAGGAAGTCAGGGAGCATGGAAAAGTGAGACCCCACAGTACTGACAGGGAGTTGGCACTGGTGCAGATGAACTTAAAATGCATCTGTTAAGACCCCAGAGAGATTTCTGTTCAACAAAAGTAGTCCAACA